CCTCCACCTATTGTCTCATGTTAGGAAGTGTCCTTCAGATGCTTTCAGAGGATGCTTCTCTCTTACCTTTGCACCGGTCCCACCACCTATTGTCTCATGTTAGGAAGTGTCCTTCAGATGCTTTCAGAGGATGCTTCTTTCTTTCCTTTGCACCAGTCCCTCTACCTATTGTCTCATGTTATGAAGTGTCCTTCAGATGCTTTCAGGGGATGCTTCTTTCTTTCCCTTGCACCAATCCCTCTACCTATTCAATGTGGGATTCTAGCTATTTATGTGAGTGGAGATAATGTACTGTATTGGAAGTTATAATTTGCCTATACTGAAAATGTATTTCCAATAGGTACTTTTCTCCGCTTACAGTTCCCACCCTTCCTCCCCACTGAAAACAGTGCTTCCATCTGCTGCTAAAATTCAAAGTAATAGTTCAGTAGAATTGAATACAAGGAGTTGCATGTGTCATGAGAGTATGTCACACTCTTATTCATAAGAGATGCTTTGGAATCTGTCAGTTCCAATAGAGAGGAGATAAAAGGCTTTTGGCATGTGTAATTGTTTGTCAATATAGAGGGCAGCACTGAATGAAAATAGCTATTTATGTGACAGAAGGTAAGTACCTATCAGAAATACATTTTCAATTTTACAAAATGTAACTTAAAAGGAAAACTATAATGGTATTTATAAATCAAAGGAATGATATTAAAACCAGCTAATTAGTGTTTGTCCTGGAAGTAAAATGGATGTAAAACTATTAACTATTGATCTTTATTTATCTTTATTTTCTAGTAATATCAAACAATTACATTTTTGTTTGCACGTATTGATTATTTTATGGTTTTTCAGATGCTCAAAGTTTTTATTTAAATATTTTGTTAGAATATAACCATAGGCACGTAACACAAGATCAGGCCCTCGTTAATCTGGTAAAACACTGCTCTTTCTTAACATATGTAATTAACATTTTTTAAAAATCATTGGTGTAAGTTTCAATACTCAAATTATATTTGAGGTTCATGTGAAGTCCATTGGCTTTTAAAGTAAATTATTTAAACCAGTTATGCTCAAAGTTAGCTGCTTCTGGGTTGTTGTATTATGTTTGTTACAATGTCCTACATAACATGAGTTACATAAAAAAAACTTTTAAGATACCAATATTGCAACAAATCCCACTAATTTCTGCTGGAACTTGCTGTATACTTACCCGTAAAATGAGTTATTTTATGCTTTTTTTTGCCAGGTCTTTACACTGGGTGTTGTAACCGGCATAAAACTATTGAATGTGATTCAACAAACAGAAACTACTGGCAATAACTGTATAAAACAAGTCCATAATTTAATAATTAACAGTTGGGAATCATAATCTTGTGTGTTTATAAGGTCTTAATAGGCATCATCTCTTAACAATCATGTTGTCTTTTTGTACTAAGAGGGCTGAGCAGGACCCAGTGATCAACATGTAGGACTGTGGATCTGCAGGTTCATCATTTGTGTCCTATTACAAAAAAAAAAGCAAAGATTTGCATTTTAGGGTTATGGGTGAGTTTTAAGGGTGACTGTCAAATCCTACTTTTCAGTCATATGAGAGTAGTCAAAGAGTTGATGGTAGATGCTGTTGACTAGCTGCCTTCTCCCTTGTATCAGTTTAAAACTGTGGAAGGCTAGTGCAGATAGCCCATGAGTAGCTGTGTGTGTGTGGATATTCAAAACCAGTTTTATTCAGTGTGTTTTATGTTCCATAATGATTTCTCTGAATTGGAATAACTTAAAGGGGTTCTTTCAGGAACCATGGTAAAACAATGGAAACTGGACAGTCACAGGTCAGAACACCTGCTGTAGATGTTGCCCATGAAAACTTTGAAACACCAGCTATGGGTGTTGCACAGTTAAAGTTTAAAACTCCTACTATGGATGTTGCCCAAGCAGAGTCTGAAACACCAGCTTATGGATATTGCCCAAGCAAAGTTTGAAACACCAGCTATGGATGTTGCCCAAGCAAAGTTTGAAACACCAGCTATGGATGTTTCTCAGTTAAAGTTTGAAACACCAGTTATGAATGTTGCCCAAGCTAAGTTTGAAACACCTACTATGGATCTTGCCCAACCAAAGTTTGAAACACCAGCTATGAATGTTGCCCAACCAAAGCTTGAAACATCTTCTCATTTTGTTACCTTGCTGGATACATGTGGTCACAGAGACTCCATAGTCAACACAATATCAGGTATATGATATTTTAAAGTTAAACTTGTGTGTTTGTTTGGAAGTACAAAGAAGAACATGAGAGAAATGCTCTTCATATGCTGTTGTTTTTCTTAGCTTATTTAACCATATTGCCATGAGTATGTTTTACTGTGCATGATACAAGGTTTTTGTTTCTTAAATTCAAAATTTTATTACTCTACTTTTTGCTTATGTTATACCACTTAGTATAGCATAAAATTTTAGCTAATAATCCATATTTTAATAGTATATAAGTTTTCATTTCTTAATTCTATAAAGCAATATTTAAAGATATCCTGAATTTCTCCTAGTGCGACATACGTAACATTTTCTCTAGGTATCTTCTCTTTTCTATTTTATTCATCACCCCTCCAAAAAGTATGAAATTCAACATAACTTACTCATTATAAAATCGTCATTGCTCAGAAAAACCATAATTTTAATAACCTTCAATTTTGTTTGGTTACAGAGCTATCAAATAGAAACTCAGACCCATCTTGTCACACCCTCTCTTTCAGGATTTGTTAATAGTTCGCTCTTACGTTTAATTATATATTACTTATAACCAATAAAAAGCAAAGGTTTCATCTATCAAATGATATATTGTATAACATTGTGTTCTGAACAGGTAATCGTCAAGTTCACTTATAATACACAATTCATTCCCATGGGAAAGTTGACAACTAGCTTGGATGAATTTGTAATGGCTCTTGTCACATAGTTAGAAAGCCAGAAAATTTTTAAGAGTTAGGGGAAGTTGTCTACTTTTTGCATGTTATCATTCTATGTTCTTTGGTGCATTATTTAATAAAGTAAAAATCATTTAGTGCATTACTACCATTAGTATAAAAAAAGTAGGGTTAAGTGTCATCGACAATTGACACCAAGAAAAAAAGAAGATTGGGTACGTACTTTATTTCTTGTTTTTCATGTTTATTATTATAAAAGTAACTAAAATGTAAAAATAGGGATCTCTTTGGGTTAGTTAAGGCTAGATTAAGTAAAACAAACAATAATAATATAATAACAATATTTCATGAGGCACACATGTGGGTAATGTTATTCGATAGCATAACATGAGCTGCACATTCCTCAAATGATTTACAACTTATAATTGCACAAATAATAGTTAAGTATGGCTTTAAGGGCAATAATACAATAAAATTTAATTGTATATAGATGTACTTTGTTACAAGTTTAAAGCTTCTTAGGATAAAAAATGTAGTTCCATGCTACACTTGAAGTCATTCCAGAAATAAAAAGAGGGTAATTTAATTTTTTTTTGGTGGTTATGAGGTCAGTAATGTTGACCAACCTTGAAAAGAGTTAGGGTAGAGAAAATTACAGATAAAAATGATAAGTAACCTAGTTTTAATATCAGTATACAGCAACAATTAATGCACTCTGAAGAATAAGGATATCATGACTGTTTTTGTTATATCAGGCAGTCTTCAAGCTGATGGTGTGATACTTGTAGTTGATGCTACGAGAAAAGATTTTGAGATGGGCTTTGATGTTGGAGGGCAGACTGTGGAACATGCTTTGTTTATCAAGTCTTTAGGTAGGCATTCTTTGATTACATAGCAACTATGAGAAGGACAAGTATGATGTTGTGTTATTTAATGTACTTATTACCCTTGCCCTTCAGTGGTATTGCAGTCATGTCCTTGTCTGTGTTTCTGCACATGTATCTCGAAAACTAATGGACTAATGTACATAAACATTTTACACAAAGTGGAAAGTCAGTATGGGACAGCCCTTCCCAAATTTGGCTCAGATCCAAAGTCGGATTCTGGATCACTTTGAAACATTTTTTTATAATGGGGAGATAGGGAATTTTTGTGGTTTTTAGGTTAATAACTTTAAAGTGTGATCAGATTTGTACCAAATTTCATGGGCACATTTAGGTTGAGACTTCTTCTCACACTACAAAAAATGATTTAGATCGATCATTCTAGTTCTGAGAAGAATTTTCTGAGTTTTCAAAGGTGAAATTTTACATTATTCAATATAAACACATGTAACCTTGAAAAGGGGCAAGGGGGTGCAATCTCTCTGATTGTTGTTATATTTTATGTTCATAAACATTAGCTTATTGTTGTACTGTCGATATTGGCCTGCTAGTCAACTCTGTAGCTAAACAGTAATTTGCTGTAATAATTTATCTTAGATGTCAGGCTTCTCTAAATTTATGCCGTTATAGCTTTTTAATGAGCCTTTTTAGTCACAAGACAATTTTTGGGAGGATTATCTAAACTTTGCTTCTCTGACATAACTTTCTTCAATTTAAAAGTATGACATTGCATTAAGTAAACATCTAATGTTTTATGTGTTCCATAAGTAAGGCTTTAATTTTACTTTTGATGACAGTATAATGTATCAAATTTTATTACTTTATTTTGCATTGTTAGCTGAGTGGATAAATTTGGGACTAACCTAAGTCTTTTAAGCTGCCAAACCTTGTAAGATATCACTGGTGTTTTGTACCAAAATACCATTAACAGTAAATTCTAAATGTTATAAGTATATTTAATTATCTATGCTCATGACTTTTTTTTATCTAAGTATGTAATTTGACTTGATTGAAAATTAATATTCAATGACATAACCACCCAGTTATAAGTTTTAATTTATATTAAACCAGTTATATACAGTAGAACCTCAACATAAAGGGCACCTTTCCAACTGCATCCAAATGCCCTCTATAGCAAGGGGCCCTTAATATCCCTAAATTCCTGATTTTAAGACCCTCTATCTTGTTTGGTATGTGTAGGTCACAGGTTGTTTCATGATTTGCACATTGCCATGACATGGAGCGTTGTCAACAAGAAATCTCAGGGACGGATTACCTGTGCCCTTTTTTCTTTATTATTGGTCACAAATTTCCAAAGTACTTCTCTTCAATGTTTGAACTGCTAAACATTTCACATTTATTTTCTGTGTTTATTTTACTATCAATGACTGAAGTAGAAATCCTCTGAAAATAAAGTAATAAATCACTGCTTGTTTCATTAGACTGTTTACATGACACCGTAATACAGTACTCTCAAGAGCAATAAAGCACATGCATAGAAATTAGTCGACTTGATTCCTGCTCTGAGAACACGGTGTGGAATTGATCAGCTTATGTATCCTACAGTGTTTACAATGAAATTCCCAGAGTAATAAAATTATACTTTGAATCTGTGAAAACATTTATTATAGTATATGGCTCAGAGCCAATCCAATAAATATCACAAGTGTTTGAATATTGGTCATCTTTACAGGTTTAAAAAGATAACTGCCCACTTGATTGAGTGCCTATGTAGAGAACGAGATTAAAGATACTGCCCTTAAACTGGAATATTGAGGTGCCTGTTATTGTAAGATTTATTTTGGCTACAAATAATGGAAACAAGAAAAAGACTGAAAAGGTCTGCCCTTAATGGCGAGGTGCCCATTAATTGAGGTTCTACTGTAAAATGTAAGTTGTCATAATGGATACTGAACTAATCACATCAATGATAAGTTGTATTGATGAAGCAATTTATACCAAAAGGTAAGATGTCATGATGACTACATATGGAAAATGTAATGTTATGATGATATGTTAACTGAATATGGATAATGAAATGACATGTGGAAGGTGAGATATGATGACAGGGTAACTACATGTGGGGTGTCATGAGGACAGGGTAACTAGATATGAAAGAATAGATGTCATGATGACACAGAAACTACATGTGGAAGGTAAGATGACAGGGTAACTACATGTGGAAGGTGAGATATGATGACAGAATAACAACATATAGAGGGTGAGATGTCATGATGACACAGAAACTACATGTGGAAGGTGAGATATGATGACAGAATAACAACATATAGAGGGTGAGATGTCATGATGACACAGAAACTACATGTGGAAGGTAAGATGACAGGGTAACTACATGTGGAAGGTAAGATGACAGGGTAACTACATGTGGAAGGTGAGATATGATGACAGAATAACAACATATAGAGGGTTAGATGTCATGATGACGGTAACACTACATATAGTAGGTGAGATGTCATGATGATGGTAACACTACATATAGAAGGTGAGATGTCATGATGACAGTAACACTACATATAGAAGGTGAGATGTCATGATGACGGTAACAATACATACAGAAGGTGAGATGTCATGATGATGGTAACACTACATATAGAAGGTGAGATGTCATGATGACAGTAACACTATATATGGAAGATGAGATGTCATGATGACAGTAACTGCATATGGAAGATCAGATGTCATGATGACAGTAACTACATATGGAGGGTGGGATGTCATGATGACAGTATCTACATATGGAAGATGAGATGTCATGATGACACAGTATTTACATATAGAAGGTGAGATATGATGAGAGGATAACAACATATAGAAGGTGGGATGTCATGATGACAGTAACTACATATGGAAGGTGAGATATGATGAGAGGACAACAACATATAGAAGGTGAGATGTCATGATGACAGTAACTACATATGGAAGGTAGGGTGTCGTGATGACAGTAACTACATATGGAAGGTGAGATATGATGAGAGGACAACAACATATAGAAGGTGAGATGTCATGATGACAGTAACTACATATGGAAGGTGAGATGTCATGATGACAGTAACTACATATGGAAGATGAGATGTCATGATGACTAACTACATATGGAAGGTGAGATGTCATGATGACAGTAACTACATATGGAAGGTGAGATGTCATGTTGACAGTAACTACATAAAGAAGGTGATATTCATAATGGCTGAGTAACTACATATGGAAGGTGGGATATGATGATAGGGTATCTACATATGGAAGATGAATGTCATGATGACAAGATATTACATATGGAACATGAGATCAGATATCATGATGACAGTGTGTGACATATAGTTGTATACAGTTTAAAACTTAATAAATTTTCAACAAAGAAAGGTTGAAACATATTAAAGTGTATGTTGGACTACATATCTCTGCTGACTTTAAAGAGATCCAGACTACATATCTCTGCTGACTTTAATTAGAACCAGACTACACATCTCTGCTGACTTTAATGAGATCCAGACTACACATCTCTGCTGACTTTAATGAGATCCAGACTACACATCTCTGCTGACTTTAATTAGAACCGGACTACACATCTCTGCTGACTTTAATTAGAACCGGACTACACATCTCTGCTGACTTTAATTAGAACCGGACTATACATCTCTGCTGACTTTAATTACAACCGGACTACATATCTCTGCTGACTTTAATTAGAACCAGACTACACATCTCTGCTGACTTTAATTAGAACCGGACTATACATCTCTGCTGACTTTAATTAGAACCGGACTATGCATCTCTGCTGACTTTAATTAGAACCAGACTATATATCTCTGCTGACTTTAATTAGAACCGGACTACACATCTCTGCTGACTTTAATTAGAACCGGACTATATATCTCTGCTGACTTTAATTAGATCCAGACTACATATCTCTGCTGACTTTAATTGGATCCAGACAACACATCTCTGCTGACTTTAACTAGAACCGAACTATATATCTCTGCTGACTTTAATGAGATCCTTGTGTAGTTGGACATGAATTTTGAAACATGTTGCAGCTTCTACAAGTTCAGTATTGGTAAGTCTAGACAGAAGTGTGAACAGTTTAGCTATTATCTGTTGACAAAAATCTTCAATTTTATTTCAGGCCATAATTAGTTAAAAGTAATAAAATTTGAGAACTTTTCAACCACTGTCTATATTTGCAACATCTTTATCTTTCTATATTTAAAACTCATGTTTTAAAATTTGTTCAACCACTTTATGTTAAATGAATTACATCAAAGCTCAGTTTTGATGAAATATATATTGAACTAATTACACTACACTTTGGCTGTATTATATGAGATCTGAGTGGAAGTAATAGTTCAAGTTGCTAGAAATGTTGACCAGAACAATAAATGGACAACCTATCTGGTGAACTTCATCGGGTCAGCAACTTTAGAAGTGTTCAATATCCGTTTCTGTATCTTTAAAGACAACAAATTAGTTTAAATAGAGTGATTAAGGTCAATGTATTAGCTCCATTATGTGGCTTCTGAGTTAGTGCTATTAATTTTTACTAACAGGAGTGTTGCAGTTAGCAGTAGCAGTCAACAAATTAGATGATGTGGACTGGGCTCAGGAACAATATGACCTTATTGTAACCAAGCTAGAAGCCTTTTTAAAACAAGCAGGGTTTGAGGAAACAGATGTGACATACGTTCCATGTAGTGGGTTAACTGGAGAAAACCTAACTGAACCAGCCAAACAAGACAAGTTCGCCACATGGTATAAGGGACCATGTCTTGTAGATGTAATTGGTATGTGTATTACTGCTAATATCAATTCTTTTGTCTTTTACTTTCCTTTGTGAAAGTAATGTGACTTACACTTATTACAGTAATGACATAAAAACAACTTGGAATCATTCATTCCACACCCACCCTTGAGAAAAGTAAAAATTTCAAACCATCTGTTCTTTCTCAGGACTGATTTCCCGTTTTAAACTTGTGTAACATGCCAGCCTCCTCTTCTGTCAACAGCAACTCATTTCATAAACCATTCACCCTGTTTCAAAAATAAATTGTCTTAACTATAGCTTAACTTGTATTTTTGAAACTGTATACATGTGTCTTCTCATCCTTTTGTTATCAGAATATAGAAAAAAAAATAGAAAGTTTCTATTTTATAAATCTCCTGGATAAATTTAAATAAGCTCACTTCTTACCATTCTTTACCCAAGAAAAAATAAGATAAAACTCTTCTACTCCTGAAATCATACCGTTAGCCCTTTTCTAATCCATTTCCAGTAAGTCGTATCTTTCTTAGAATAGGATGTGGCCTAACTAGTACTTTATAGAGAAAATAATTACCTTTTTAACACTTATAATCAATATGTGTATACATTCACCTTGCATCAGAGCACTCTACTGATGGCTTGATCAACTTAAATATTACTTTCCAACTATACTGAACTTGTGATATAAATTATGATTACCCAAATCCATTATGTCATTTGTTAACTATTTGTCCCACTTAACAATTGATCCAAGTCATCATGTAGCATCTCAACATCGTCAACAAAGCTAGAAATACTGAAGAATTTAATGTCATTAACAAACTTTAGTAATTAATGCCAGTAAGAAAACACAGCCCCAAGCACGGACCCCTGAAGCACTCCACTAGTATTGTTATTGAACAATGTTCAGTATTGACTCCTGTGGTATTGTTATTAAACAAGGTTACATATTAACTCCACTAGTATTGTTATTAAACATGGTTAAATATTGACTCCACTAGTATTGTTATTAAACATGGTTACATATTAACTCCACTAGTATTGTTATTAAATGAGGTTACATATTAACTCCACTAGTATTGTTGTTGAACAATGTTCAGTATTGACTCCTGCAGTATTGTTATTAAACAAGGAACCATGTTTAATAACAATACTAGTGGAGTTGATATGTATACATATTGACTCCCCTAGTATTGTTATTAAACATGGTTACATATAAACTCCACTAGTATTGTTATTAAATGAGGTTACATATTAACTCCACTAGTATTGTTATTAAACAAGGTTCCATATTGACTCCACTAGTATTGTTATTAAACAAGGTTCCATATTGACTCCTGTAGTATTGTTATTAAACATGGTTCCATTTTTGACTCCACTAGTATTGTTATTAAACATGGTTCCATTTTGACTCCACTAGTATTGTTATTAAACATGGTTACATTTTGACTTCACTAGTATTGTTATTAAACATGGTTACATATTGACTTCACTAGTATTGTTATTGAACAATGTTCAGTATTGACTCTACCAGTATTGTTATTAAACATGGTTACATATTGACTCCACTAGTATTGTTATTAAACAAGGTTCCATATTGACTCCACTAGTATTGTTATTAAACAAGGTTCCATATTGACTCCACTAGTATTGTTATTAAACAAGGTTCCATATTGACTCCACTAGTATTGTTATTAAACAAGGTTCCATATTGACTCCACTAGTATTGTTATTAAACAAGGTTCCATATTAACTCCACTAGTATTGTTATTAAACATGGTTACGTATTGACTCCACTAGTATTGTTATTAAACATGGTTCCATATTGACTCCTGTAGTATTGTTATTAAACAAGGTTACATAAACAATGGTTACATATTGACTCCTGTAGTATTGTTATTAAACAAGGTTACATATTGACTCCACTAGTATTGTTATTAAACATGGTTACATATTGACTCCTGTAGTATTGTTATTAAACAAGGTTAAATACTTGACTCCACTAGTATTGTTATTAAACAAGGTTCCATATTGACTCCACTAGTATTGTTATTAAACAAGGTTCCATATTGACTCCACTAGTATTGTTATTAAACAAGGTTCCATATTAACTCCACTAGTATTGTTATTAAACAAGGTTCCATATTGACTCCTGTAGTATTGTTATTAAA